CCGCCCCACGGAAAGCACCCTCTGGCCAAGGAGAGGAAGCAGTGAGCATGAGGTAAGGCTCCCACCTTGTGGTGAAGATAAGTAACTACAGCATCAGTTTCCCAGGGAGAAGGGGCAGAGGTGGCAAGGACACCAGGAGAGACCACACCGATGCAGACTCATGTCTGTGCTAATACTTTATTGGTCACCTCTAGGCCTGTGCCCAGCTAGATGGGTCCAGGGAGGGGCTCACCATTTACCAGCTCCCAGCTGGGAGAATGAGAAGGACTTGGCCAAGCCCTCCAGGATCACAGACTATGGAGTTTAAAGGGGCAAGTCTGGCCTTTCCTGGGTCACCATGGGGTATCCAGATAGAGGTGGAGGTGGAGGCCAACAGCCCAAGCTTCCCACCTATCTGCAGTCTAGTTGTGTTTGGAGAAGTATTCCTTGCTGTCATCCACGTTAGGCTTGATTGTGTCACTGCCTGGCTTCCAGCCAGCAGGACAGACTGTGGGAAGACACAGGGATGCACATTTGAGGCTAGAGCTACATCTTCAAGGTAGGGCAGTTATGAGGGGATGAACAGAGGCAAAGTAAGAGCCAGAGTGGCAGAAAAAAAAGCCCAGAGCCAAGTGGTACAGCCCCAAGGCCATATAGCACGTTGGGAAAAGCCCTTCAAGCCCAGCTACAGGATGTTCTGGCTGACATTTTTATTTCTTTTTGACCACCCCCACACTGTTTTTTAAAGATTTATTTATTTATTTGAGGGGCGCCTGGGTGGCTCAGTCATTAAGTGTCTGTCTCCTGGGATTGAGCCCCGCATCGGGCTCCCTGCTCCGCGGGAAGCCTGCTTCTCCCTCTCCCACTCCCCCTGCTTGTGTTCCCTCTCTCACTGTGTCTCTCTCGGTCAAATAAATAAATAAAATCTTTAAAAAAAAGATTTATTTATTTATTTGGAGAGAACATGAGCACAAGAGTGTGGAAGTTGGGGGGGGGCAGAGGGAGAGGGACAGGAAATCCTCCAGTAGGCTCCCCACTGAGTGTGGAGCCTGACAAGGGGCTGGATTCCAGGACCCAGAGACCATAACCTGAGCCAAAACCAAGAGTCCGATGCTTAACTGACTGAGCCATCCAGGCACCCACCCCCCTTTTAAAAAGATTACTTTCTTCCTGCCCTTGGGGGGGGGAGTGGGGGAAGCGGCAGAGGGGGAGAATCTCCAGCAGACTCCTTGCTAAGCACAGAGCCCAACCTCACAACCCTGAGATCATGACCTGAGCTGAAACCAAGAGTCAGACCCTTAACCGACTGAGCCATCCTAGTGCCCCTCTTTTTGACCCCTTTAATCCTGTTTCTCTGTCAGCCATAGACCCACCGGACATCGAGGGTCTGTGATCAGGCTGTGTCCTCCACAGGAGAAGGTACTCTGATCCAACTAATATTATTCAAGCTGGACTTGGTACATGCCTTCTCAAATATCTTCTATAGATCTGTTATCTCCCAGCTCCCACCCTCATATTGGGGTATCTCCCCCACCAGACTAGAAAAGTCCTGCCGACGAGGCCCTGAACTGAATCTTCTTTGGGGCCCTCACATCCATCCCACACAAGTGATAGAGCAGGCAGTCAATGTCTGCATGAGGGCTGAGTATGTACCCACAGCTGAACCCAGGTGAACGTGTGTGGCTGCTCACCTTCCCCATGCTCATCCGTGTACTGGAAGGCCTGGACCAGCCGCAGAACTTCGTCCACAGAGCGCCCCACAGGCAAATCATTGACAGTGATCTGGCGAAGGACACCCTTGCCATCGATGATAAAGAGGCCCCTGAAGATATCAGGGTTCATGGTGAGGAGGTGGGAGTTCCCATTGCCAGAGCCGGGGAGGGAGTATCAACTCCCTACCGGCCACAGGGCTGGGGGCAGGGAAGACAGTGCCCAAGCATTGTCCCCTTATCCTGAGGATTGGGGGCTCCCTGAGGGCCCCACAGTACCTGTAGGCAATGCCCTCATCTTTCTTCAGCACACCATAATCTTCGGACAAACTTCTGGTTACATCGGCCAGCAAGGGGATGTTTAGGGGGCCCAGGCCTCCTTCCTTCCTGGGAGTGTTGATCCTAGGAGTGGAAGAGACAAGTCTGGGACCCAAGATGCTGATACAGCAGGGTCCTCACCCTGGGGGCCTGGGTGTGATAAAGGCTGAAGAGGGGGTGCTGCAGCTGAGAGATAAGGGGCTTTAGAGCAAGGTTCTAGGATCCCCACCCACCCCACCCTGAAGAGGGTATAGGGGCTCTTTCCCGCAGCTGGGAAGACTAAGCCGAGGCTCCAGGTCCAGCAAAGGGTGTTCACATATGCCGGTGACCTCCCACATCTTGGGGCGGAAAGCCTGTCTCAGAGTCCCCATCCTCCTCTCTCTAGCTCTGTGTGTTGGCGCCCAGCCCTTCACTGTCTAGAACTGGAGTTTCCACCTTCTTGAAATAGTTATTGGAAGGGAGGTTGTGTTGCCCTAAGTGAGAGAAGGCATCTCCAACTCTCTGGGCCCAGCAACTAGTTTTCAAATGCTAATTACTGCCATCATCATTAAGGACTTGGGCGTCCTTAATTTTATTATTTTCAAGATGGGGAAAGGGAGGCCCAGATGTTGAGCAACAGCCGCAAGAACACATAGCTCGGATCCTATGGAGGACGTGGGCTTGGCTGCATCCTCCCTCCCTGCTAGTCCCCGCTCATACCAAGCCAGGTGGGTGAACTGAGAGTCGACAGAGACCCCCAGCACCTCACAGCCCAGCTTGCGGAAGTCCTCGGCACGCTCGCTGAAAGCGATGATCTCCGTGGGGCAGACAAAGGTGAAGTCCAGCGGGTAGAAAAAGAGGACCAAGTATTTCCCTGCGGGAGGGAGCGGGCAGAGACAAGGAGTTAGGCCTCTGATGTCTGGGCCCCACCCCCACCTGGGCCCACTCTCGGCCGCCCTCACCTTTGTAGTCGCAAAGCTTCACCTCCTTGAAGGCGCCGTCCACCACGGCGGTGGCCTGGAAGGGCGGGGCGGGCTTTCCGATGTGCGCCTTGCCAGAGGCCATGACTGAAAGCTGAGACCCGCGGCCCGGTCAGTGCGCCCGGGAAAACCCTTTGTCCTGCCTTCCCAAGGTCACGCTGCGTGCTGGGCCCGGTGACCGAGGAAGAGAGGCAGAGGGCGCAGCGCTACCCCACACCCTCCCGGGTACCCGGTCTGCGCGGCCTTGAGACTGCAGGAGACCCGTCCCCCTGACCAGCAAAAGCGGCCCGGCTGCAGCCGCCGGGGACCCCCCATTAGCGTGTCGGCCTGAGGGCCCTGGCGCAAGCCCACCGCTCCAGGAGGAGAGCCCGCGAGCAGGGGGCGGGGAGCTCGGCGATGCGGCCTGTACTGCATGCAAGGCCAAGGCCTCGGTTTCCCCCTGCAAGGACAAAGGCGGCCACTACGGCGGGCGGAAAACAAAGGCTGCAGCGCTGAGGTCTGGACCCGGCCGGAGCTGCTCCAAGGGGGCTCCCCAGAGCCCGGTGCCCTCCAGGTGTCCATACCTGCGTGGGCAAGAGGGCACGCACAGACCAGCACACGCGCGAAATCGCGTTCTCAGCACCAAGCGCGCCCTGGGCCTGGGTGCCTTTTATGCGCGGCACGAACCATGACGCATAGGGCGGGGGGGGGCGGTGGGCGGACGAGTGAGCGGTCGGGTCCACTGCAACCGCAGGGGAGGTGTGGGGAGCGAAGCAGGCCCGGTCCACGCGCCTGCAAGCGGCGGGAGGAGTCGCGGAGTCGCGGACCCAGACCACTGCCTCCGCTGGTGGGGGTAGTGCGGGCACCACATACCCCGCGAGGAGCTCCTCCTCGGAGCGCGCCCGGGTCGGTTGGAGTCCGGCATGGCCGGGAGCCCGGCGGACTTACTGCTGCTGCCTCTGATTCTCCTGCTGCTGGGGACCCCTGCCCAGGTCTCCCGCGACTACCATTACTTTGGCGAGAAGAGCGGAGGCGACACCTGGGAGGAACTTTGGCTGCAGCATCAGGAGAAAGGTAACCGCACGCCGCGGGTGTGATGGTGCGGAAAGGTGCCCCATTGCCCCACTTCAACAGCTGGCTGCAAACACACCCTCCTCCAGGGACTTCAGACCTCTCCCCATCTGCGCCCTGGCGTGGCCCCCTTGGGCTGGTTACTTTTCTCTGAGGCTCAGTTTTCTTTTCTTTTCTTTTTTTTTTT